TCATGGATCTGTTGGTTTTTCGATGCCAGAACGATGCTGGCCGGTGCTGGGGGATTGCCCTGTAACCTGTTGATAGCAGGAGCATGAGGCCTGGTAGAGATCTGGGGATGCTTTGGGCCGGGCATTCCACCGGAAAGCCAAGGGTTGCTGTCGGGACGACGCTGGCCGGAGCTGGGGTGAGTCGTGTTGCCCTGTAACCGTAGGGGCAAGAGGCCTGGGAGAGCTCGGCAGGGAATAAGACAGTGTTAGAAAATTTTAGAGTGTTTTGTGGGGGGTTCCAGGGGTCCTGAGTATTTGAATGACTTTCAGTAATTGTTGCTTGTGTAGCCTAGTAATGAGTTGGCAGGTTAGCATCTATTTGGAGTGTTTTCTTAAACTTTTCCTGAACTGTTCTCATAGTTCTTAGACTGTTCTTAGCCGAAGCCAGGTAATGGCCCTGGTGTTTCAAAAAAGAAAAAGAAAAAAAAGAACAATCCCTAGCCCTCCCTGTACCAGGACATTACATCTCAGAGACGATGCCATCATAGCCACCATCCACCATAGCTATCCTGTTCTCACCACCTGGACTAAACCTGGACCCATAGGTTGTCATGACAGCACCCCCCAGTTTGCCACTGGATTGTCTTCCTCCCTCGACTAATCCCCAGATCTCTCTACAAGGCCTCACACTCCTGCCATTTGCAGGTTACAGAGCAACGCCCCAGCTCCGGCCAGCTTCGTTCTGGCTTCGGCATACCAGGAGCACAGAACAAACCAATTATGTAGATATCAGCCTGGATTCGACCACAGAGCCTAGATTGAACCTTTAGAGTTTAAACTTTCAACTACAAAAAATTCTTTCAATTTTTGGAATTTTCATCCTTTTTTTTTTTGTTTGTTTCCCTTTCTTGTTTGTCTGTGTGCTGGGGCTGCCTGGGAACTCACCTGCAGCTCGCGCCCTGCTGGGTGATTGGGAAGGAAGCACACAGTGTACCTGTCCAAGTCCAATCTGTAGCACCAAGCAGGAGGAAGAGGAGAGGAGGGGGAGCGGTAAAGCCTTAGTGAACAACCAAAGGTGAGACGCCACTCATAAAGGAGAAGACGGGGGAGGAAAGAAAGGAGGAAGAGGAGAGGAGGGGGAGAGGAGGGGAGGAGAGGAGGAGGGGGGTAGGAGGAGGAGGAGGAGAAGAGGAGGGGAGAGGAGGAGGAGACAGAAGCAGGGGTAGAAGAGGAGAGGAATCACATGATCGCAGCCCCTTAGCGCAAGTAAATCAGAGATTCGAACAATAATGAGTGAACAGCGAGAATTCCTGTTGCGGGCGTCCCTACACCGCGTTCGGCTGTGTCCGGACATCAACAAAAAAACTCAGGGCATACTCACAGTAGGACTTTTTTCTTTTTTTTCCTCTTTTCTTTCTTTCTTTCAGTGTTCGAAAAGGCAACGGCCTGGAGATATCATCATTTTACTGACCGGCCAATGATTTATTCTTTCTGGTCGTGTGATTGAATCTGGATTCGAAGTTGGGTCTGATTCATATTTCAACAGTTCGTGGGGGTACCAACTGAGCCAGGCCCGCTGGTCTAGGACTCTTTTTCAACTGAGCTCTAGATCTAATTACGGCCAGATACATCTGGAGATGGACGTAAATACAGTCAGATACATCCGTGGAAAGTCCCAGTAGTGTGAGTGCACCTGGCCGTAATCACACTCAGATGCATCCATGAAAACTCAAAGGTCCCTCCTTTTACTCAGGGCATACTGACACTTGCACCTTTTCTTTTTTTCGTTTTCCTAATGTGTGTCATCCTTGCTCAGGGGCAATGCTAATCTTCTTTCTCCATATCATTCCTTTTTTTGACCTTTGTCCCGAAGGACTCACTTGGACGTTTTTGACTCAGCTCTGGACACAATTGCAGTCATATGCATCCATGCCCTGCCGTAATTGCAGTCGGATGCATTTTGGAAAGTGCTATTCCGAGGATACCCTCAGACAGCCTCTGAACCATCGATCTCAGTATCAGATCTCAAAACCCCTTCAAAATCAAATAAAATAAGATTAAAAAAAAAAAAAAAAAAAAAAAAAAAATCTAATGGACGCTGCTATTAGAACCCTTCTTTTTTTGTATTTTTTTGTCTTTTTTTTTTACAAAAGCACAGATGCAAGGAAAATGAGCGAGAGCAATAGACAGAGAACCAAATCGCAATATCACGCTGTAGGCCAGATAGTCGTGTGCACCGAGCAGAAAGTAGAATGCACAGAGATAGATACAAGCCAAATAATAGCAATATACAATGAACTCAAAGGTCAATGTCGACACTCTCTCGGCACCACCAACATAGCATCCAATGTCGCTCTTCTCGATTGCCGCTCAGCTTCCTGCCTACCCTACTCAGCACCTACTCTATCCTACACTACGCCATGCAACAGGAGTCGTTTCAAGCTGAAGACCAGTGCACGTGATGAAGTCCCCGATGCAGACTGCCGCATACACCAGGTGCATGTCTCTTCTCTCTCCCCTCTCATATCCTCCTCTCCCCCGCATGTGCGCCCCTGTGCCCAAGGACCACGATCGCCCACACCAGCATGCGCCCATGCAGCCCGGCTATGGCCGCCGTGCGCCCGCTGCCTCTGCAGCGCCCATCACCGCTGTGCGCCTGCGTGCGCCCTCCAGCCTCACTCCCTACCGGCTTCACCTGAATAGAGTGCCCGGTCATTATCGCTGCATCTGGACTGTGAAATGGCCCAAATACAGCTATAATGACCAAGAGTTATATTCGGGCGAAAACGGTAGCGGCCTCTCAGCGCTCCAATCCATCAGAGCACTGGCGCTTGCAGCTCCCAGGCCAGAATGTGTTCTGGCTGGGCGCTCACTTTCCTTTATGTGGAAAGTGAGCCCCGCTCCTGGTGGGCCCTGGGCCCGGCGGGCGTGTGCCCAGAGTAGCTTCACCTTGGGCCAATGTGTCTGCGCCCGGGCCCATTCAGACAGTGGCCTGGGCCCACAGGAGTTAAGCTGCCCAACTGTGCGACGTGGCTGCTGCCACTCGCCGCATTCTCATCGGCTCACAGGCCACATGCCACGTCGCTGCCTGGATTTTTTTTCATAGGCCGAGAGCGTCTGGCTACGTCCCTGCTGAGAAGATCCCTGAGGCTCACGATGTTGTGCTCCCACTGGACGTGGGCTCTGTAACCAACGTGGCTGGCGCCCCAACATGCAGAAATGACAAAAATAAGGCCTCGTATCAAAATGCAGGCCCGACCTCACTTTTACTTAGGGCGGGCACAAGGCTTGCTTGGGACCCCCCCCTGGCTGTCGGGTGCTGCGGCCAAAGAGGCCTCTCCGAGGGCTCATTCCTCGCACAGATCTGTTTATTGCAAAAATGGGACGGAGGCCGGGAATCCGTCCACAAACAACCCGGAAAAGAGGAAACACTGGGATAATTAATTACCCCGCTTAGGTGCAGGCGATGGGCTTATTCTCCAGCAGCAACAGAAATGGCCAAAACGAGACCGCTGTCCACATAAGTCAATCAAAAGCGGGAAAACAAAATTGAAAAAAAATTGCAAGCAGAAAGACAGGCACTCCTCTCTCCTGCAACTATTGCCTAGAGTGATTCTCCTCCTCCTCCTCCTCCTCCTCCTCCTCCTCTTCTCTTCCCTCCTCCTCCTCTCTTCCCTCCTCCTCCTCTCTTCCCTCCTCCTCTCTTCTCTCTTCCCTCCTCGTACTCCTCACTTGCCTCCTCGTCCTCTCTTCCCTCCTCCTCCTCTCTTTCCTTCTCCTCCTCTCTTTCCTTCTCCTCCTCTCTTCCCTACTCCTCCTCCTCTCTTCCCTCCTCCCCCTAACAAACAAACTGGACCATATCTCAAAAACCCTCTTGTGACCTGTCAATATAGGACTAGCCACTCAGCTCTCTGTACATAAATCATTAATAAAATCTCGAGGAGATGCGGCTCTCTGTACATAAGTCAAATGACTCAATTCTGAAGGAGAACGATGGGTATGCTTCTCGATTGCAGCTACTGCCTATTGCATTCCCACCTCCTCCCTCTCCTCTTCTTCCTCCTCCTCCCCCGCCCTCACCCCTCAGAGTGCACCCACCTATCCCTGCACCTCCTCCACTCGGCCTCCAGTTGGTATCTGGGGGCCCACGAGAACTCCTCCTGGAACTACAGTCAACTACTATCGTCCCCTGACCACAACCCACCCTCACATGAATGTATCGGACCTGAAAGGTAACTTGTATACGTTCAGAATCAGCATGCGTGGTCCAACAGCTTGCACTTGTCGTGCATGCTAGAGCTCGGTGGATGAACCCATCCATTCTATATGATTCTCCTGCAACTCCTCCCATTCTCCCAATCACGAGTATGAACTTGTGAGAATGAATCAAGCCACATCCTTGCCATGTGTTCATTCTCTTGCCGTTTTTCGTCTAACTGCATCTGCAGGACCATACAGCAACCCCCATCATCTGCACCATACCATATCCCATGGGCAGAATGAGTCCTTTTCCTTCTGTATTCCATTGAGTTTTTTTTCAAGCTATCCCATTCAAATGAGCCCTTCAATGGTGTTGATGTAGAACGATGCCTCCAAAGGATCTCTCTCTCTCTCTCTCTCTCTCTCTCTCTCTCTCTCTCTCTCTCTCTCTCTCTCTCTCTCT